GATGCAGTTTGACTTCACTTTAACTGCTATGGCTTTTTTGTATGTGTCAGGAGCAACTTAAGAAGCTGCAAGTTGCTTCTGGTGTAAGAGAACTGGCAGTCTGCAAGGACATTGTCCAGGGGATGCCCAGATGTTTTGATGTTTTACCATCCTTTTGGGAGGCTTCTCTCATGTCCCCACATGGGGAGCTGGAGCTGACAGAAGGAGCTCATCTGTGCTCTCCCCAGATTCGAATTGGTCTTCAGTCCTGCCAGCACAAGGATTTAATTTCGCCACCAAGGGCTCCTTACTACCATACCGAATGCTATTGAATCATGGGAGTTGTAGTTGATTGAGGCATCAGTACTTTGGCAGGGAAAGCTAAATAGTAAAATACTTTTAAATTTGCCCTCTGCAAGGACATCACCCAGAGGACGCACAGATGTTTTGATGTTTTACCATCCTTGTGGGAGGCTTCTCTCATGTCCCCGCATGGGGAGCTGGAGCTAACAGAAGGAGCTCAACTGTGCTCTCCCCAGATTCGAATTGGTCTTCAGTCCTGCCTGCACAAGGATTTAACTCATTGCGCCACTGGGGGCTCCTTACTACCATGGCCAAATGCTATCGAATCATGGGAGTTGTAGTTTGGTGAGGCATCCGCATTATGGCAGGAAAGGCTAAATACTTTTAAGGTTTATCTGCTTTTGCTTGTATTGCCCTTAAAAAAAACTTTCCAGATTTTGCAGCATTAATCCATGGCAGTTAAAGTGGTGTCAAACTGCATTCATTCTACTGTATTGATGCACCTTCAACCTGTGGAAACGCATCGAGATATAGGATGAACAAATCCTGTGATCTCAGGGAGGGAGGCGTTGGGGGACTTTTCAATATAATAGAATGAGAGCATAAGTGCCAGACCTGAATGCATCTGCACCTTCCATCTCATGTTCCCTAGCAACTAAAATACAAAGACATACATACCATCTCTGATATTGGAGATGCAGTCCTGACTAGCAACCACTAATGTCCCTCCTTGCCATTGAGTCATCCAAGCTCCTTTTTAAAACTACCTAAATTGGAAGCTATGACTACATCTTGTGGCAGTGAATTCTGTAGATTATGCTCTATGTGAAACAGCGCTTGCTTTTATCTTAGGCAAATGGAATTACAGAATACATAGATTTGGCATGCATAGTTACATAAAGAGCAACACTTAAAACACATCCAATAAAATCCACAATATATGGATTAGTTTCATATTTTCAAAGGCTCTCATGGCCGGAATCACTGGGTTGCTGTGAATTTTCCAGGCTGTATGGCCATGTTCCGGAAGCATTCTCTCCTGATGTTTCACCCACATCTGTGGCAGGCATCCTCAGGGGTAGTGAGGCCTGTTGGAAGCTAGGTAAGTGAGGTTTATATATCTGTGGAATGTCCATGGTGGGAGAAAGAACTCTTGTCTGCTTGAGGCAGGAAGCAGCCAGGCTTTGAAGCTGCAAGGCCATTCAATGCTAATCAAGGTGGCCAATTACAACATTCACGCTTCCCTCAAGCAGACAAGAGTTCTTGTAGCTAACACTCCACACTAGGTGCAATACAAAGGTGAAAACAAACAATTAAATAACAGTGTGGTAAAAATAACAACAATAAAAACTTTATTTATAACCCACCCGCTCTCCCCAAAGGAACTCAGAATTAAAATACAGTAAAATACCTTAAAATGGACTTTAAAACTCATATTATTAATGTCTGCTGATTTGTACTGCAAACATAGGATAAAACTCACTGATTTGCCCAGTTTTTTACTGGCAAACAATAATTCAGAAGGTCAGCCATTCGCATAGAGTGCATCAGCACTATTAGCACTAAACTGTTCAGTCCCAGACTGTTTGAAAAATCGCATCTCTGTATACAAACCAGCATGAGCACTGTGGTCTGCAGAGGAGGCCCTGCTCTCAGTCCCACCCATCTCAAGCTCGGTTGGAGAGAATGAGAGAGGGGGCCTTCATAATTGCTCCCTGCCTCTGAAACTCCCTCCCTAAATAATTAAAATGCCCCCCTCCTCTCCTTTAAAAAGTTTTTTAAAACTCATTTATGCACCTTAGCCTAGGGAAAGGAAGAAGACTTGTACATCTCCATATATATCCTCACCTAGATATTGGACACCTACCTCAGCCGGTTGGATTCCAAAAAACACGTTTAATTTGTAAGAGCTTATTATGTGGTAAATATTTATGATGTGTCATATTATGTTTATTTAAGTCTAATTTTTGGTTATTTTTTGTTTAGTTTTATAAGTTCATATTAAGATTGTTTTATTCATTGCTGTGGAGCCTCCAGTGGTGCAATGGGTTAAACCCTTGTGTGAGCAGGACTAGGTGTTGACTCAGGTCAGCGGTTCAAATCCGGGGAGAGCAGGTTGAGCTCGTTCTGTTAGCTCCAGCTCCCCATGCGGGAGACGTGAGAGAAGCCTCCTACAAGGATGGTAAAACATGAAAACATCTGGGCATCCCCTGGGCAACGACCTTGCAGACAGCCAATTTTCTCACACCAGAAGTGACTTAGCAGTTTCTCAAGTTGCTCCTGACAGGAAAAAAAAAACATTGTTTTGATTTAATTTGTTACTTTGTCTATTTCCAGCTTTGAATGTTTGCCTTTTTGTTATTTTTGTTGGAAACCGCCCTGAGGTGGGTTATAAACAAAGTATTATTATTATTATTATTATTATTATTATTTTAACGACACAAAACACAGTTGCTAATTAACGGGAACCAAAACAATATCTAGGACTTGATTATGTGCATGTCTTCACTGTCTTTGAAGATGTGTGATACACGTGAGTTTTTAACCTGTATCAGGCTTGGGCCAACTTGGGCCCTCCAGGGGTTTTGGACTCCAACTCCCTCAATTCCTAACAGCCTCAGACCCCTTCCTTTTCCTTCCTACCAGCTGTTAGGAATAGTGGGAGTCAAAGTCCAAAATCCCTGGAGGGCCCAAGTTTGCCCAGGCCTGCTCTATATTATAAGCCTGGCTACCTAAAAGGTCTATGCATTGTCGAAGGCTTCCATGGCTGGAATCACTGGGTTGTTGTAGGTTTTTCGGGCTCTATAGCCATGTTCTAGAAGCATTATCTCCTGACATTTCAGCAGCATCTATGCCAGGCATCCTCACAACCTCTGAGGATGCCTGCAATAGATGCAGGCAAAACATCAGGAGAGACTTACTTGCTTAGGCGATCTTTGTTGTCCGAGTAGGATAGTCTTCCAAGATCAGTGTACTGGTGGGTCCTTAGGTGACTGTAGAGCCCTATTCTTGATCTGCATCTTCTCCCACTGTGAGGGCATTGGTTTCCAGGTGGAAGGCGGTCTTGGTCAGGGTTGGCTTGACGCGCCTTCCTCTTGGCACGTTTCTCTCTTTCACCCTCCATTTGTGTTTCTTCAAATTCTACAGCACTGCTGGTCACAGCTGACCTCCAGCTGGAGTGCTCAAGGACCAGGGCTTCCCAGTTCTCAGTGTCTATACCAGAGTTGTTAAGGTTGGCTTTAAGCCCATCTTTAAATCTCTTTTCCTGCCCACCAACTCCGCTGGACTGGCCACGTTGTCCGGATGCCTAACCACCATCTCCCAAAACAGTTGCTCTACTCTGAACTCAAGAATGGAAAACGGAATGTTGGAGGACAAGAGATTTAAAGATGGGCTCAAAGCCAACCTCAAAAACTCTGGATAGTACACTTGGAGGACCATCATCCTTGGACTACAAGGGATTGCTTAAGTAAGTAAAGTAAGTACCATTGCTTTTATTATGCGGATCTTCATTGCCAGTGTGATGTCTCTACTATTTTATTGAGATTGGACATTGCTCTCCTCCCAAGAAGTAAGCGTCTCCTCATTTCCTGACTGTAATCTGCAGTAATCTTTACACCTAGAAATACAAAGTCTGTCACTGCTTCCATGTTTTCTCCCTCTATTCTCTATCAGTTATCAATCAGTCTTGTTGCCATAATCTTGGGGTTTTTTTTATGTTTAACTGCAACCCAGCTTTTGCACTTTCTTCTTTCACCTTGCTTAGAAGGCTCAACTCCTCCTCACTTTCGGCCATCAAAGTGGCATCATCTGCATACGTAAGGTTGTTAAGGTTTCTTCCAACAATTTTCACCCCAGTTTTGCATTCATCAAGCCCCACACATTGCATGATGTGTTCTGCATACAAGTTTAAAAGGTTGGGTGAGAGTATGCAGCCTTGCCGTACGCCTTTCCCAATCTTGAACCAGTCTGTTGTTCCGTGGTCAGTTCTGACTGTTGCTACTTGGTCCTTGTACAGATTCCTCAGGAGAGAGACAAGGTGGCTTGGGATGCCCATCCCACCAAGAACTTGCCACAATTTATTATGATCCACACAGTCAAAGGCTTTAGAATAGTCAATGAAGCAGAAATAGAAGTTGTTCCGTGGTCAGTTCTTATGGTCATATTCTAGAAGCATTCTCTCCTGACGTTTCGCCTGCATCTATGGCAAGCATCCTCATAACCTCTGAGGATGTCTGCCATAGATGCAGGCGAAACGTCAGGAGAGAATGCTTCTAGAACATAGCCATATAGCCCGAAAAACCTACAACAATCCTAAAAGATCTATTATAATAGACCACTGGAAGGGGGAAAAGGGGGAGGAGGGAGAAAGCAGCCCAGTCCCGCCAACTCTGGCCCTAGTTTTAAATTTCCCAGCCCCATCTGCCCCCCTTCTCCTCCTCCTTCTTCTTAAGCTGCTCCAAACCCCATTGGAACACAAGCGTGGGGCTTCCCATTCCCTTCCAATATCCCCAGGTGGGAAGCAAGGAGGGGGAAAGCGGCGGCAAAATTCGGCGGCAGGCAAGCAGGCGCGGGACTCCGAAGCAGAGCGCGCCGAGTCTAGCGCCAACCTTCTTTTTTTTTTCCTCCCCGGCGAGCGTTGATTGGCGGGAAGAGCCATGGGCGGAGCTTCCCCAGGAGGCGCCTGATTGGCCGGATTGTAAAAATATGTTGCAGGGCGCCAGAATAGAAGGGTCGGGCGCCTAGTAGTGGAATCTCCTCCGGCAGCAGAGGCGCGGCGCAGAAACAGGGCTTCTTGGGATAGAGAGAGTTATTATTTTCCTGTAGGAAGAAAGGGATCCTTTCCTACCTTTATGGAGTGAGCCTCTCAATGCCGCTCAGGTGCATTACGCGAGGGGCTGGGGCAGAGAAGAGGACCGCCAGAAGGGTAAGAGGGTCTCACACTTTGGGGGCGGGAAAATTAGGAAGCCTGAGGGCGTCTACACTAGGCATGGGCTAATTTAGGCCTTCCAGGTGTTTTGGACTCCAACTCCCATCATTCCTCACAGCCTCAGGCCCCTTCCTTTTCCCCCTCAGCCGCTTAAGCGGCTGAAAAGGAAGGGGAAGGGGCCTGAGGCTGTGAGGAAGGGAAAAGGAAGGGGCCTGAGGCTGTGAGGAATGATGGGAGTTGGAGTCCAAAACACCTGGAAGGCCCAAGCTGGCCCAAAACTCCTCTACACTGGAGTTAATACAGTTTAGCGCCACTTTAACTGCCTATAACTCTATATCATGGAATAATGGGATCTGTAGTTTGGCCAGAAGGCGTCGCAGACCTATAGGGCAGGGTATATATCCAAGGAGTGGGCGGGAATGTCTTTGGGGCTGGGCAGGGTCACTCTCCCGCGCTTAGGATTGAATGGTCGCTCTCCTCCGCCCTTTTCCCTCTCTCTTTTCCTTCCCAGCCCTTCTCCAGGTTCTTTGCGCCAAAATTAACTGATCCCCATAGATTTCCCCCCCTCTCTCCCTTTTCTCCCCCACACCTGCCCTTTTTATTGAAGCCCCTTTGGACCCTGCTTGTATTCCAGGTAATCAAAGCCCTTGGGCACTGTTTTGTTCAAAAATTTCTGGCGCCATTGTGATCCTATTAATTACATTTTTACTATTTTAATATTTTTTAATTTTTGTTTTGATTGTGTACAGGTGGTAATTCTACATTGGAGAGCTAAAGTATTTATTTACTTAGCACAAGCAGGCCTGCAAATAACATTTTCTTTTTTAAGAAAGTTCAGAAGCTTTGAAATGATTTAAAATATCTCTCCGACAGATAYTAATAATAATAATAATAATAATATGTGCGCATCATTCGGAAATACATCACACAGTCCTAGATGCTTGGGAAGTGTTCAACTTGTGATTTTTTGATACGAAATCCAGCATATAGATCTCATTTGCTGTGACATACTGTGGGTTTGTGTTAGTAAATAATAATAATAATAATAATCTGCGCGCATCATTTGGAAATACATCACACAGTCCTAGACGCTTGGGAAGTGTTCGACTTGTGATTTTTTYATARGAAATCCAGCATATAGACCTCATTTGCTGTGACATACTGTGGTTTTGTGTTAGTAAAATAATAATAATAATCTGCGCAGATCATTCGGAAATACATCACACCGTCCTAGACGCTTGGGAAGTGTTCGACTTGTGATTTTTTGATACAAAATACAGCATATAGATCTCATTTGCTGTGACATACTGTGGTTTTGTGTTAGTAAAATAATAATAATAATCTGCGCGCATCATTCGGAAATGCATCACACAGTCCTAGACGCTTGGGAAATGTTCGACTTTTGTTTTGTTGATACAAAATACAGCATATAGATCTCGTTTGCTGTGAGTGACATACTGTGGTTTTGTGTTAGTAAAATAATAATAATAATCTGTGTGCATCATTTGGAAATACATCACACAGTCCTAGACGCTTGGGAAGTGTTCGACTTGTGATTTTTTTGATACGAAATCCAGCATATAGACCTCATTTGCTGTGACATACTGTGGTTTTGTGTTAGTAAAATAATAATAATAATAATCTGTGTGCATCATTCGGAAATACATCACACCGTCCTAGACGCTTGGGAAGTGTTCGACTTGTGATTTTTTCATACAAAATACAGCATATAGATCTCGTTTGCTGTGACATACTGTGGTTTTGTGTTAGAATAATAATAATAATAATAATAATAAAAAAACTTTATATACTGCTCTATTTCCCCGAGGGGGACTCAGGGCGGTTTCCAAGTAACATCACTTGAAACATACAAAGTAAACAGCATAACATAAAATTAACAAAACAACATAAGCATAAAATTATCACAATAACACATGTATATTAAAAATTGTCCTGCCTATTCATTGCAATTAAAAAGCCGGGCCAAGGCTAGTGCAAACTCAAAATATGAGGTGGTTATACTTCATTGGAGGATTACAGCATTTATTTACTTAGCACAAGCAGGCCTGCAAACAACATTTTTTTAAAAAAGCTTTGAAATGATTTAAAAGATCTTTGAGTTGGCTGGATGGCCATCTGTCGGGGGTGCTTTGAATGCGATTTTCCAGCTTCTTGGCAAGGGGTTGGACTGGATGGCCCAGGAATTCTCATCCAACTCTATGACTATATGAAATGGCTTACATTCTATTCTGAAATATGCTTGTAGTAATTTTGGAGAAAGATAAGACAATGAGTTAGGACATGTGGATTGGTCCTGAAAATTATTATTATTGTTTTACTGACACAAAAGCACAGTATGTCACAGCAAACGAGATATATATGCTGGATTTCGTATCACAAAATCACAAGTCGAAAACTTCCTAAGCGTCTAGGACTGTGTGATTTATTATTATTATTATTATTTGAAACAAAGCAAGATGAGGCCACAGCAGACAAGATCACTTTGCTGGCTGTTGTATTGGATCACATGTCAGACACTTCCCAAGTGTCTAGGACTGTGTGTTGTATCAGCGAATAACGCGTGCAGATCCCAGTAAGGTGGCCTTTTTGCAGCTTGCAGATGGTAATTTTGTCAGCGCCCATTGTGTTTAAGTGCAGGCCAAGATCTTTAGGCACTGCGCCCATTGTGCCGATTACCACTGGGACCACCTTGACTGGCTTGTGCCAGTCTTTGCAGAGTCTTATTATTATTATTAATGGTTTTGTATGGACTTTATAATGTTGTTTTAAATGTTTTAATTGTATATTGTGAATTGTTATGGCATCGAATTTCTGCCAGTTTGTAAGCCATCTTGAGTTGCCTTTGGCCTTGAGAAAGGTGGGATAGAAATATCTTAAATAAATAAATAAATATTATTTCGTGTCAGGAGCGACTTGGGAAACTGCAAGTCGCGCCTGGTGTGAGAGAATTGGTCGTCTGCAAGGATGTTGCCCTGGGGACACCCAAATGTTTTTTGATGCTTTGCCATCCTTGTGGGAGGCTTCTCTCATGCCCCTGCATGTGGAGCAGGAGCTGGCAGAAGGAGCTCATCCACACTCTCCCCGAAATCGAACCTCCAACCTGTCATTCATCAGTCCTGACGGCAGAAGGGTTTAACCCATTGCACCACTGGGGGTGATAATAACAATATGTGAAAATGTGACTCTGATTAAGCCTTGGAGAATTTGTGCAATAGATAAATATGGAATAATGCACAATGACTATTGGAACGGCCTGGACTATGTTTGTGGATTCTGAAATTGTGAATGTATTGTTTTTAATATTTTTGTCTTAATGTATTTTATAATTTTATAATTCTATTTTTAATGTTTATTTTAATTGTACAATGTTTGAAGACACCAAATAGTTGCTTACATGTAAAGCCACCTTTAGTCCCCTCCGGGGTATAGAAAGGCGGGGCCAAAATGTCATAAATAAATAAATAATGAATTTTAGGCACAAAAAGATTAGTACACAGGCAACATGATCACTCTGCTGGCTGTTCTATTGGGTCACACGTCAGACACTTCCCAAGTGTCTAGGACTGTGTGATGTATCAGCGAATAATGCATTATTATTATTATTATTATTATTATTATTATTATTATGCTATTTTTATTCCAGGATCTAAAAGACTGGAATATGACCCTTTGTCATTATTTTTTAAAATCCTTATTTTTATTGAACATTTTGTTATCTTGTATGCAAGTGGTAATATTTCATTGGATGTTTCCAACATTTATTCTTAATATTATTATAGGTTTATATTCTAACATACCTCACAACTTCTGAGAATGCCTGCCATAGATGTGGGCAAAACATCAGGAGAGTATGCTTCTGGAACATGGCCATACAGCCTGGAAAACTCACAGCAACCCAGTGATTCCTGCCATGAAAGTCTTTGACAACACATCTTTAACATGGCTTACATTATATTCTAAAATTTGCTTATATTAATTTTGAGGAGGCAGAGAAGATAACATGATATGGGAAGCCTGGTAAATAATAATAAGTAGTAGTAGTAGTAGTAGTAGTAGTAGTAGTATTGTGGGGAAATTGATACTATTTGTATTCCAAGCTCTGAAAACCTTTGGGCTTTTACAATTATATTAAAAGTTTGAAAGTTGATTTGCATTATATTATAAAATATAGTGTAAGTACATAATAAGTTTGTATTATTTTGGAGGGGCCAGAGAAGATCAAATGATATGGGAAGGTGTCTAAAAATAATCATTAGTGCAGAAAAATGGTTCATATCTTGTTCAACTTTTGTATTTTTACAGATGGAGGTGAATTGCTTGACACTAAAAGACCTGATCAGTCCAAAACATACTAGGATAGATTTTATAGACGAAGACAGAGAAAGTGCACAGAAGGTAAGGAGACAGAATTGCATGCCTAAACTCTTGAGTTTGCCTCATGATAATTGTGAAACCCGCCCCATATTGTATGTATGGTTGCTGTTCCATGCAGTTTATTTTTCCCAGCTCCAAGATAAACAAAACTTACTGTCCAACCAGATTGTTCCCCACTGTTTTGTCAGTTGAGCACTTTACTGAACTGACTTGCTAAATTCTCTGCTTAGGCCCACTGACTTCCTTTTGGCTCTAATTTCACAGACAACTGATTGCCCCATCCCTTCCCTTATAAGGTAGTAGGGAATCATTTACTCACAGCTGATTAATGTATGTTTTTTGCAAGATGCTTGCCATATGGGGATGGGATTATAGACACGCCTGACAATGAATCCTAATTGGCTAAGAGTTCTCTGTGCTTGTGAATGGGAGCAGATGACACAGTACTTGTTACTAGTACTCTGGCTGCACAAAAGACCATCTGAATGTCAGGAAGCATGTCATGAATCTGAAGATTAGACAGAAAGCAAAGGAATCTTGTGTGGTGTAATCTTACAAATTCATTGTGAAGGCCAAATGTATGATTATGTATATGAGAACATGACTCGGAATTTTATATGGTTTTTAATCTGTTCAATTGATTGATATGTATTTAATTTACTTATATATTTAGGTTGTTTTATATTTTGATGAGATGTGTTTTATTGTTTATCTGTGCGGCATTAAATTTTTGCCCAATTTGTAAGCTGTTTTGAGTCCCCTCTGGGGTCAAGAAAGACAGAGTAGAAATGAAGCAAATAAATACATACATGTTGAATAGAAATAATAGCATTGTTGGGATGGTTATATTTCCGCTCTACAAAGTTTAAACCACGTTTCGCAACCTGGGGGTCAGGACCCCTGGAGAGGTTGTGGGGGGGGGGGGCGGTGTCAGAGGGATCACCTAAGACCATTAAAACACTATTTTCTGTTTGGGAAGTTTGTGTGGGAAGTTTGATCCAATTCTATCGTTGGTGGGGTTCAGAATGCTCTTTGATTGTAGGTGAACTAAAAATCCCAGCAATGACAACTCCCAAATGTCAAGGTCTATTTTCCCCAAACTCCCACCAGTGTTCACATTTGGGCATATTGAGTATTCATGCCAAGTTTGGTCCAGATCCACCATTGTTTGAGTCCACAAAGCTCTCTAGATGTAGGTGAACTACAACTCCAAAACTTAAGGTCAATGCCCACCAAACCCTTCCAGTATTTTCTATTGGTCATGGGAGTTCTGTGTGCCAAGTTTGGTTCAATTCCATTGTTGGTGGAGTTCAGACTGCTCTTTAATTGTAGGTGAACTATAAATTCCAGCAACTACAAATCCCAAATGACAAAATCAATCCCCCACCCCACCAGTATTCAAATTTGAGCATTTCGGGTATTTGCCAAATTTGGTCCAGTGAATGAAAATACATCCTGCATATCAGATATTTACATTACAATTCATAACAGTAGCAAAATTACAGTTATGAAGTAGCAACGAAAATAATTTTATGGTTGGGGGTCACCACAACATGAGGAACTGTATTAAAGGGTTGTGGCATTAGAAAGGTTGAGAACTACAGCTCTAAACCAAGAAAACAACATATGGGATAGAATAAAAGGCTTACACATGATCTTCTATCCAGAAAAAAAAGTCCAATCATATTAGAATATATAAAGCTAAAGCAAAGTTTAATAAACGCAAAAAAAAAAAACCCAACATTTTGCCCTTTAGGCCATTACTATACTGCTATATAGTCAGATTATCAAAGCAGATGATTCACATTATCTGCTTTGAACTGGATTATGAGTGTACACTGTCAGATAATCTGGATTTTATCTGGCAATGTAGAAGGGGCTTAGTTACGTCTTGCACAGTATATCTGTTGACTTTCTAGGACATATGAAATGAACGAAACCTGTTCATATCGTCTTGACTTAAAAGAAGTAGATTATCCAGCCCCATAAGTAGATTTTATAGTGAAGAAAAATAATTTCCAGACATCGAAGAAGTGAAATTTAAGTGTGTGAAAGGGAAGGCAAGAAATCAAAAGATCAATGTGTATCAGTATAGAGATGATAAATTGCCCTCTATATCCACAGATTCAACCATCCACAGCTTGAAAAAGTACCCCTCTGCCTCCCTCCAAAAACAATTCAAAAAGTAAACCTTTATTTTGCCATTTAATATATATAAGGGACACCAGTATGTATAAAGAGACTTAAGCGTTCATGCATATCGGTATCCACTGTAGACTCTGGAATCAAAGTTCAGCCAATACCAAGGGCCTACTGTATACAATATGTAGGTGTTATGTTGCCTTCAAGTTTTCCACAGTTTTATTGTCGGTATAGATAAAACCAGAGAAGCTTTGTATGAATTTGCTTACTACTGCAATACCAAATGGCTCAGCACTGCAAATATCAATCCATTCAGGTTACACAAGCATATTCAGCTCTTGATGTCCCTCCTTATCTACAGTAGATCTCTCACGCTATCCAAACAAACAGGCAGTGCAAGTCTGACTGCTGAATGACGAGTAAAGCTAGATGGGCTTTAGTGTGAGTAACTGCACACAGTTTCTGGGCAGTTTCTCTGTTCTGAGATTGAAATGAGAAGCATTGCAGTGATTCAGCAGTTTGCACTGACACGTCTGTGTCAGGGGTAGTTCGCTGTAGAATGAAATGAAGGTGGCTCACAAACAGATATGACTCATAGGAGATGAGCGGGACAAAAGAAAAGCCACTTGTGTATCATCCCAAAGACCTTTTTATATCTCACAAAATATGGAACATGCTGAGTTCTGTAGGAGTCTTAAGATGTAGTTCAGAGATGCCTGGTGTGCATGATATTTTGAATATACAAAAGCCAAAGTTTGTGAGACTGTTAAACCCTTGCTAGAAATACTCGGCAACCGGTTATGTAATACATGAATCATTGTGGTGTAGCAGGCAGAACAAGTTCATTTTAGAAAATTTCTTCAGGTTTTTTTTGGGGGGGGGGGGGGTTGGCTATTGCATCTGCAACTCCAAGGCACAAATGTATTTCAATAAAAGTTTTAAAGTGAAAACTTTGAGCTTTGTTGAAGAATGATAAAATATCGAATCCTAGTAAATTGTAAATTAGTTCTGGCATCTCTGATTGGTTACTTTCTCTGGGGTAGCATCATACTTATGGACTAGAAAGCAGTTTCAGTAGGTACTAAGTAAATTAACAATTTGTATTAAAATAGTAGAGATCTTAATTAAGGCCCTTTCCACACAGCTGAATAAAATCCCACATTACCTGCTTTGAACTGGAATATATGGCAGTGTGGAGTGAGATAACCCAGTTCAAAGCAGATATTGTGAGATATTCTTCCTTGATATTCTGGGTTATATGTCTGTGTAGAAGGGCCCTTAGATATGTTGGGCTGTTTGTATTCTCACTAAGGGCTCTTCCACGCAGCCCTATATCCCAGAATATCAAGGCAGAAAATCCCACATTATCTGAGTGAGGACTCCGATAACTCAGTTCAAAGCAGATGTTGTGGGATTTTCTGCCTTGATATTCTGGGATATAGGGCTGTGTGGAAGGGCCCTGGGTTATCTCAGTAAAATGCATATCAATGTGAAGGGTGGGTTTATTAAATAAATAGAAACTAATAATAAATTTTAGGTGGAGTGGGATAGCATGGGGTTAGAAAACTGTGGAAGACGTATATTTTGCCTCAATTCTCTTACACATTATATCCTGTTTGGAGTATAGGGTCATAGACAGCAGATTCAGGTTGTTCTATGACCCTATAAAAAGAGTACAGCTTTTTATGCCATACATTCATTCCAAAAATATGATTAAAATTAAGTGGCATGAGGTCTGAACTTGACCCCCTTCATGTCTCAAAAGTCCATCTGTACATCCTGCAGTTTAGCTAATCCTAGAGTTTTAGTCTGTTTATTGTCCCATGGAATAAAATGCCTTCGTTTTTGAGGTGATGCTAGAACTGAAGTGATGGTGAACCATGGAGACTATATAGCATGACAAACAAAAGCAATAATTGGTCATCTCTCTACCTCTCAACTGATTGATGCTTTTTCTTTCCAATAGGAAAATATATTTGATCGACCTCGAATGACCCCAAAGACTCCCATGAAAATTGAACCGATAGATTTGTCGAAACAGAAAAGCATTGCCCCCGAGGCAAATCCAGTTACACCTGTTAAGCTCACTGACAGGCCCCTGGCAGATCCATGGACTCCCACGGCTAACCTGAAAATGCTAATTAGTGCGGCTAGCCCTGACATGCGGGATCGGGAAAAGAAAAAAGAACTCTTCAGGCCAATTGAAAACAATGAATTTAGTGATGCTTTTCCTGATTCCTTACAGGTAAGAGACTTTGTCACAGTGGGTTTGTTTATGGCTATAATTAAGCATAAATATATATGTGCATGTACTTAATTTTAAAAATTATCTGTATAGTCCAGGGGCCTTCAAAATTTTTATGTAGCGGGCCAATTATTGGTCCCCTAAACTGTTGGGGACGGACTATAGTTTGAAAAAAAAATGAGCGAATTCCTATGCGCACTGCACATATCTTATTTGTAGTGCAAAAATGAAAGAACAATACAATATGTATTTAAAATGAAGAACAATTTTAACTAACATAAATTTACCAGTATTTCAATGAGAAGTGTGGGCTCCGTTTTGCTTATGAGATAGTCAAGTTAATTAGGGTTGTTGTTGTGTGCCTTCAAGTCATTTTAGACCCTAAGTCTAAAGTTTAAGAGGAGGTAAATGATCTTGGAAGGCCGCATCTGGCCCGCAGGCCTTAGTTTGAGGATGCCGGGTTTAGTCATATATAAGACATTGTTTTCTTGTATGTATTGCTTGTGAGCCCTTCCACTTGTTGCAGTTTTACTTTATATGAGTTGAAGACCCACATCATTTCCCTTTAACCAGTATACAATTGAATATGTGGCCTTCAAGTTGCTTGTGGACTTAACTTTTATCCTAGTGGATGATTGTTCATTCTCACAAGGTAGTTGAGCTACAACAGGAAAATGAGCAATGTATGGAGTCACTGATTAAATTGGCTGCCTTTTGAGACATGTAAACAATACTTCTTAATCAGTTTTGATCATGGGATGCATGCATGATGGACCTAACCCTTGATGAACAGCTGGTTGAGTTCATAACTTAATGCTTAATCCAGCAGTATAATCTATGTGTTGTCGAAGGCTTTCCTGGCCGGAATCACTGGGTTGCTGTGAGTTTTTTGGGCTGTATGGCCATGTTCCAGAAGGATTCTCTCCTGATGTTTTACCCACATCTATGGCAGGTATTCTCAGAGGTTGTGAGGACCTCACAACCTCAGAGGATGCATGCCATAGATGTGGGTGAAATGCCAGTAGAGAATTCGTCTGAAACATGGCCATACAGCCCAGAAAACTCACAGCAACCCAGTATAATCTATGTAAATCAGGACAAAATGGCATTGGTGGTGCTGAAGCTAAAACACGATATTCTTTGAATGAAAATGTTGATGTTAATGTGATAGTGGAGCTTTCCAAACATTTCATTTTGATGACACAATTTTTAGGCATGCATCATTTTGCAACACAGTAAAGTTAAACCAACACTTTATAAGAGATATGGGTGCTTGCATAGATGATAACAACAAAATGTATGGAGTCAGAGGTTTTTTGTTACATTTGTGAAACATACCTGAAAACTACATCCAACACACTAATGTGTTGGGACACACAATTGGAAAAGCACAGTGTAATGTCAAAATGAGTTGAACGATATTCATGCTGTAGAAAATATGGTGAGAAACAGTTTCCTGAACTTAGAACTGACAGCCCACTAAAAATACCTTACATCCCTTGGCACCATTTCACTGAAGAAGCCATAGCCACCCCCACTGATACTTTGGCCTTAGGGCAGTTGAGAAAAAAAATACAGACAGCGAAATATGAAGATAATTTGCTTGTAAAGGTCACTACAGTATCCAAGTGACATGTTCTAGTTATCTATAGTGTGGAATGAAGAATGGCCCTTTCAGAGAGGATATTTCTCTTAACAAGAATTATGTTATTGTGGTAGGAAACTCTGCATTATATCATTATTGCAATGTCTTTCTCAAAATATTTTTTTAAGGATATATGTCTTTTATGGATAAGAAAGAAAGCATTTCCCTTTTCATTTGGAAATAACACTGGTAGTATTTTTCAAATATAACAAAAAAAATTCAGTGACATTTTTCCAGAAAAGGAAATCTGACAGCTACTAGAACAAACGTTCTATTTCAGGTACATATAATTTCTGGCCCTTGGTGTCTTAAGGATTGGGAAATAGCTTCCATTGCAAATGTACAAATGCTTCTGTAGATACAGAATGTTTTTATTCCCTGAAATGAGCCCCCTGTGGCGCAAGGAGTTACACCCTTGTGACAGCAGGACTGCTGACTGAAAGGTCGGAAGTTCGAATCCGAGAAGCAGGGTGAGCTCCCATCTGTAAGCTCCAGCTTATGCAGGGACATGAGAGAAGCCTCCCACAGGATGGTAAAACATCTGGGCGTCCCCTGGGCAACATAGTTGCAGACAGTCAATTCTCTCACACCAGAAGCAACTTGCAATTTTTCAAATCGTTCCAGACACACAAAATACACCTGAATTCACTCACTTCCTGAACCAAAAGTTGGCATGATCTTGACAGGGATGAAGAACTTGTAGCCATCCAAATTTGTTGACTACAGGTTTCGTCATTCCTCACCATAATACAGGCTGACTGGGATAGATAGCGGTTGGAGTGTCTTACCTAAACTGACATTTCATTGGTGGAAGTCCAAGTCTAATGTATCATAAACACATGTGGCCAATTACAGAGGTGTTACTTGAATATTTTCTGCATCTGTTTCTAGTGTGATGCTGTAGACGATGGAATGACTGATGACTATGAAAAGCAGAGACCCAGCAGAAAACAGAAAAGTTTAGGGCTGTTGTGCCAAAAGTTCTTAGCTCGCTACCCTAGTTATCCTTTATCAGCAGAAAAGACCACAATATCTTTGGATGAAGTAGCTTCTAGTCTTGGTAAGTATGACAGAATACTGAGCACAAAAATTAATGTTTCTAACGGGTTATGCAATATCCTTAAGGCATGATTTACTAGCCTGTACTCCTTACAGTCCTCACTTAAGTTCCTCCTGTGCATTTTCTATCCATTTCAGTGGGGCAGCATGAAGTAAAGGTGCTGATAGATTATTTTTCTGTTATTTGTTTTCAAGAATTAATCTGGAAAATAATCACATGGAAGAAGCATAGCTGATAGGGGTTAGGGATGGATTGCCTTGATGGTTCTGCTCCTTGTCAGTTAGAGATGTGTTCATTCATAAATCTGTTCTCGTCTTTTTCTGCATACATTTTCACTTTTGAAACGGTCGGTTTTGATCATTTTTGCATGGAATACACCTTTGATGAAATAGACATTTTGATGCATTTATTCATAAACTGCATTGTAGTACCTTTCTTTTTGGCTGAAGCCTGTATAATAAAATATTGTGCAAGTATAACTTGCATTCCAATCTTCCTATACGTATGTAAAATGGAACAGACTTCAGGTTAGTTCTCTTAAAAATACAGATGGGAGTAAAAAAAATTAGATATCTCTAAAAGAAGCCTAAGTGGTCCTAAACAACTGACTGTTAACAAAATTCACATTGTACACAGAGCAGTAGTTGGAAGTGGATTGTTTTTCTTTTAGAAAAAATATCAACAGAAAAAAAGTAATGGTTACTTTATTTACTTTGTGACATGAAATCTCAATGATGTACAAGGAAACTGAAAAATATTCCTTGGTGGTCTTATTTATTGACAATCTCAACAAAGAAGATACATTGTACATAAAGTACTGTCTTCATTACTGGAAGTGCACTTGTGGCAGTAAAACAGATATATTATTTAAGTGAATTTTAGATTAGGAATCATACACACACACACATATCCATATTTATATAAATACTTTTCATGGGTAGATTTGTTTATTTAAAACATTTATATCTCAATCTTCAGCCACAAAGGCTGTCAGAGCTCCTTGAAAATTGTTAATATGAGAGCGCCTTGTCCTCAGGTTTACAATCTAAATAAGACTAGGACAAAATGGCATTGCAGGAATCACAGAATAATAGAGTTGGAAGAAACCACATGGGCCAACTAGTCCAGCCTCCTGCCATGCAGGAAAGGCACCATCAAAGTACCCCTGGCAGATGGCCATCCATCCTCTGTTAAAAAGAATACTGCCTGTTCTTTTCTCGCACAGCAGTCGGGGCAGTGGCAGTTGCAGTGGAGGATCATTCAGGCACAAATAGCATAAACACAATTACTTGGTAGGAAAGTTTGTTATAACAAAGTGTAATATAGAAATCAAAAATTATGGGGAGAAAACATAGCTTACATGCAGCATGCCCAAGTTTCAATCCCTGGAAGTTTAACTAATACTAATAAGGGAGCAGATAATAGGGAAACCTCTGCTAGAAACCTTGGAGCGACACTGACTGGATCTATACTGCCAAATAATGCAATTTGAACAGCATTAGATGGTCAGTGTAGACCCATATAATTCAGATAGGTAAAGGTAAAGTTTTCCCCTGATGTTAAGTCTAGTTGTGTCTGATTCTGGGAGGTGGTGGTCATCCCCATTTCTAGGCCGAAGAGCCGGCATTGTCTATAAACACCTCCAAGGGTCATGTGGCCAGCATGACTGCATGAAGCGCTGTTACCTTTCCGCCAAAGCAGTGCCTATTGATCTACTCACATTTGCATGTTTTTGTATAGCTAGATTGGCAGAAGCTGGGGCTAACGGTAGGAGCTTATCCCACTCCCCAGATTCGAACCACCAACCTTTCAGTCAGCAAGTTCAGCAGCTCAGTGGTTTAACCCACTGCGCCACCAGGGGGCCCTTATAATTCAGTTAGACTGCATCATATGGGTCTACACTGACCATATAATGTAGTTCAAACTGCATTTTCTGGCAGTGTAGATCCAGCCACTGTTGGCCATATTAACCTGCTTAGTATTGTGGGCATCTTATATTTTCAATTGGAGGACTATATATACTCATGTAAAATTGACCCCCAAAAACTAGGTCAAGTTATCTATGCGTTAAGTACTGTACCTTAATCATTATTATTATCCAATTCTCTGAGTATAGTGGTGAGTGCAGTTTAGTCTGTCCTGGGAGAACCTAAAAGAAGCACTGACTCCCCGTTACTCTTTCCGCTGTGGCAGTGCTCCTCGGTTATTTCATGCCTGTTGAGAAAATGGTAGCGAGTGGCAGCTGATACTTTCCCCTCTTTGTAGTATGACCTTTGACTAATGCGTGAATCATACCAAAATCTATAAATTTGGCCCCAAATTCCGCCCTCATCATACATAAGTATATGTGGTAAGTCAGTACCGATCTAACCAAGCTGGTTTTGTATACTCTTTAAGAGCCGTGATTTGATCCGTCCAGGTAGCTTGTCCGCCAATAAAAATCATATTCTAAATGGTCATTTTCCTCATAGTAGCTATTGCCAATTCTTATTGAATGATGGCTAACCTTGTGGTGATGGGGTTTTTCTGTTTACTGAAGCTGGTTTGCAGGCTGCCTGCTGCTGAGTCTTGTCGGCTTGGTAGGACCTGTCAAATCTTGCCCTGCTGTTGGCACTGCCTTCAGGAGTCCAAGGTCACCTCTGCTCCACAGTCAGACAGCAGGGTGGAAAATGTATATAAATATGTATAAAGTTATTTTTCACTTTTGCCATCCATAGAGCAGGCTTTCTTAAAATAGGTTTTTTAAACACAGTGTTGTTAGGGTACTTTTGTAGAGTCCCTTTCCATTTAATGAAAAATGTAATGAAAAGTGACAGTATCAAGAAACCATGTCTAGAGCAGTAAGTCATTTACACTAAATGCTCATAACCCCAGATCTGCTAAGGCAAGAGTATCAACATGAATTCCAGCCTAGACTTTAGTGCATTTTTAAATAGTTCTGTACATGAACATTAATGGTGCCATCCATGACTTAGTCAGCGGGTGGTAGCATAAGAAGAATGCTTTGTTTCAAATGTAAATCTTCACATGGAGGATAAAAAAATTGGTAGGTGAATTTACAGCACAGACTGTGTAACTTATTTGCAGGTTGAGCTCCTAATAATAATAATAATAATAATAATAATAATAATAATAATAATAATAAACGACTTTTTTTGTACCCTGCCACCATCTCCCCAACAGGGACTCAGCGCAGCTTACATGAGGCCAAGCTCAACAATGCAGCAACAAAATAAAATCAAAACATAAGCGACAACATAATCAATTACATAAAAATACACTATAAGAATATTACAACCAATATAAAAGTACAGTAAAATAAAACCATTTAAGACACAGAACAATGAGCAGGCCACATGTACAGATTAAAATACTATGGATAAAAACGGGGTGAGATAGCAGTGGAGCAACTTATTTGTGAAGGAGGAACTCTTCCAAGATGGGGTCGAGAAAAAGGACCTTCGTATAAAGGGTGCACTGAAGACAAAAATTGAGGGTGAATGGTAAAATGAGATTATATAGTTCAGTGGTTCTCAACCTTCCTCATGCCACGACCCCTTGATACAGTTCCTCATGGTGTGGTGACCCCCAACCATAATATTATTTTCGTTGCTACTTCATAACTGTAATTTTGCTACCGTTATGAATCGTAATGTAAATATCCTATATGCTGGATGTATTTATTATTTATTTATTTATTTGCTGCATTTGTTGACCGCCGTTCTCAGCCCTAGGGCGACTCACGGCGGTGTACAACATATAAAAACAGTTTACAATAAAGCAATAACACAACAAAATATCAACATAACTATCAATAATACCACAATAATATAATTACACTAAATCATCCGCTCCGTCTCATCGTAGAATCATAACCAAACTCATAATCCATGTTCCGTTCCAGTCGTCATTGCCAATTGTTGTAGCACTTAGTTAAACGCCTTCTCAAATAACCATGTCTTTAGGCTCTTGCGGAATGACAAAAGGGAGGGCGCCTGTCTGATGTCTACAGGGAGAGCGTTCCACAGCCGGGGGGCCACCACCGAGAAGGCCCTCTCTCTCGTCCCCGCCAGACGTGCCTGTGAGGCAGGCGGGATCGAGAGAAGGGCCTCCCCAGACGATCTCAAGGCCCTCGTGGGCTCATAGGCCGAGATGCGGTCAGAAAGGTATTTTGGGCCGGAACCGTTTAGGGCTTTGTAGGCCAACACCAGCACCTTGAATTGGGCCCGGTAGCAAATCGGCAGCCAGTGGAGCTGGGCCAACAAGGGCGTTGTATGCTCCCTGCGTCCCGCTCCTGTTAGTAACATGGCTGCCGCGCGCTGGCCTAGCTGAAGCTTCCGGGCCGTCTTCAAGGGCAGCCCCACGTAGAGAGCGTTGCAGTAGTCAAGGCGGGATGTGACCAGAGCGTGTACCACCGTGGCCAAGTCAGACTTCCCGAGGTACGGGCGCAGCTGGCGCACGAGCCTGAGCTGTGCAAATGCTCCCCTGGTCACCGCTGAAACCTGGGGATCCAGGCTCAACGATGAATCCAGGATCACACCCAAGCTGCGAACCTGCGCCTTCAAGGGGAGTGCGACCCCATCCAGCACAGGCTGTAACCCTATACCCTGTTCGGCCTTGCGACTGACCAGGAGTACCTCTGTCTTGTCTGGATTTAATTTCAGTTTGTTCGCCCTCATCCAGACCATTACAGCGGCCAGGCACCGGTTCAGGACCTCGACAGCCTCCTTAGTAGCAGGTGGAAAGGAGTGACAGAGTTGGACATCATCTGCGTACAGATGACACCGCACCCCGAAACTCCGGATGATCTCACCCAGCGGCTTCATGTAGATATTAAACAGCATGGGGGACAGTATAGAGCCCTGTGGAACCCCACAGGTCAAAGGCTGTGGTGTTGAACAGGAGTCCCCCAATAACACCTTCTGGGTGCGGCCCTCCAGGAATGACCGGAGCCACTGCAAAACAGTGCCCCCGAGGCCCATTTCCGCAAGGCGCCCCAG